CAAATGTTTGGAAACACTCATTGTGTGTCAGATAGCTACTGATAACACATCCTAACATTGCTTTGTCTTGAGTTTATCCTTGAAACTTATAGGCACACAGATTAAACCTGTGTTGTTGATTTTGGAAAACACTACTGAGGCTGCCTTGCTTCCCTTCAGAAAATCTACATTTTAACCAACTTACATGACATTCTATGTTATGTTGACTTTATCACATGAAAGTTTATAGTGCATTTCATCAATTAATAAATAAATGTGAAAATCGTAATTTTCAACACAAATAATAGTCTCGCTACCTTAAGGTGATTAACACCAACTATAACAATGATGTGGTCTATAAGCATAGAATGATCGCTTTGTCAATTGTTCAGCCCTTATTTTTTACTGTCACTTTAAATGTACAACTGTTTCTGTTCAGAAAGAACAAGTTCATGATTATAATGTGGTAGAGAAGCTAGATTTTGATGTCTTGTAAATATATTATGAGTTGTGATACATATGACGATTGCAAGCCTTATCTCCGTATCTCCGTATCTTATACGTAATCCAACCAATGGAATTCATGGAATTCATTCCCAGACTGTCTCGCTTCAATGTTTGATTGTCTTTAGTAATTTATGCTTGAGGTCCGAGCTATTCTTAGAGTCTTTAATTGTGAATGGGAGGATATTGCAGTATTCATTCAAGTAATAAATTAAATTTTTTAGTTTATTCTGGACCGCTAATAGCAATGTTACCGGCATGCCAATCTTTGTCTGCAAGTTCATTTGAATTTGTCCATTCAATATTCATTAATGAAACACTGGGGCCGAAGTTTGTTGAACTCGACATGCTGGCTAACATGAATGATTTGCTATTAATCCTACCTTCATATTGCATGGCAAGATATCCGTTTTAAGGTTGAAACCTGCTCAATAATGTGCACTATTTAGCCAATAATCTTGAGATATGCTATACACAACAGTTCTTTACTGTTATCATATAATTATAGCTTCTTATTTGTACATATTAGGTCAATGATCATTTTCGTGTGATTTATGACAAATGTTCTCAAAACTCATGAGTGTGCATTTACCTTGATCTAGTCACGAATACAATCACCGCTGACTTATTTTACTAATACCTCTGCCAAGGATGTTATATTTTACCGCCTATCATCAAACTTGTTGACTTGTATTTATACATTGACAATGATATTAGGGCGAGTTATATGCTGCATATATTCGTGTGACATTTATAGAAGGCTGACCACGGGTGTTACTGAAACATGTATTCTAGTACGATTGACTCCTGGCGATAGTGGGGACTTTATTCGCAAATAGTTACTGAAATATTGTTGAGAGCGAGAGATTCTCATAAATTTATCCTCTTCCCCCAATAGTGCTCCATACTCGTCATCATTTCTAGTGTTCCAAAAATTGTTGTGTTAACATTCAGTAGGTTGTAGATGACAGCATTAGATGTGGCGCAGCTCTACTTAACCAATTAACCATTTTCGTGGTCTCATTGTAGTGCTTATCCTCACTTGATGTTCTCTGTGTGCTAGTAACTGGCATGAGTCAACAGGTGATATAATGCGCAATTCGTCTTAGTATTACCTCTGAAAGAGACTAATATAACCTCTGAGATGCTGAGTAGTTGCAGTACATATATTTATAATTATATAGTTATATTAACTATTATTATCAACACATAAGAAATCTACTATTACTAATACATGGACTTTCTGGTGGTTGAACAAACATACCCATCACTAATTGTACATATATACATGTGTATCACGCAGAAATAAAGCAAAACATTACACTGAATTAAAACATGCATACATGGTTTGAATAGAGCAGAAAACGTAAATGTTTTTGTTTTAATGTCTACAAACTCGCATCGAATGCCAGACCCATAATACGATGTATACTCTCCGCCTAGATTACATTAGTGTTTTTTTCAATTTTTTCAATTTCTTAGTTGGTGAACAATTCACACTACATCAACTTGTTTAATTGAAGTTGGATTGATATTTATTGTTAAGACTTTCATAAAGATATCGATCAATCAGAATGCTTCATTGCCAAGCAATATATGCCCGATTTCTAAATCTGATTTGAGCGTTTAGTCTGGATACAACGTGGACCATGTCACGTACATACAATAATAATTAGATACTCAAACGAATTTAAATTAATTAATCATTCAATCATTCCAGTGGGCAGTGATGAAAACTGCATCTTGGGGGACTCGCAAAGAAGTCCGTATCACACATAACTACATGGTCGACACATGCATTCAGTGGCTGATTCAAACTTGACAGTTCTGGTTCCTCCAAGGTTTGGGCAATATAGCCTTAAACTGTGAGTTGACGAAGATACTGGACTACAACATTGACAGCTGTATTCGATTCTCAATGAGTTTCTCAGTGCAGCATATGATTTGCAGGATCCTCTGCACCCAACTGCCAGGACTTTTTCGACCATACATCCAGGGATATTAATTACTCTCATGCCACTCTGTGTAATGCACTGTGGTGTTCCTAAACCTACACACACGGCACTTAGGATGAGAATCATTTTACCCAAGTTTGGCATGGTGGAGTTCAGTAGAGTCTAAGAAAAAAGAAAAGTTGTAACATATTGTATTGTTTGGCGTTGGCTGGGTGCATTACCAGTCCCCCAATCAGAAAACAGAAGCTTCAAACTAGAAATATTCTAATAGTGTTGCATTCGATGATAGGAGTAAACATAACACTATTTGAGAAATAAAAAACGTGACGAATGGTTATCTCGCTTTTACCAAATCGCGGCGACCAT